TAACCGAAGGGCAAGCTATTGAGTTTCTCTGAGACTTTGTCATTCTCAGAATTCTCGTATTCAGCTCTAATGATGACCTCATTTCTTCATTATCTGTCCAAAGGTGGACAGCAATCATAGGCTGCAAGCACTGAACTAAACTGCTCCCAGCACATTCAGACTCTTCAGCCATTCAGGTTTGGACTCATTTGTATAGATATTCTTCAAGTCAAATTTCTTTTAACCCCTTAAGGACCAAACTTCTGGAATAAAAGGGAATCATGACATGTCACACATGCCATGTGTCCTTAAGGGGTTAAAGAGGCATCCTTTAAGTGAGAGGAATACTGCTCATAAAGGGTAATGATACCATCCCAAGACTCCTCACACCACAACATTGATCTGTTGTTTAGAGGCTCTTTTTAAGTTATTTTTTAAAAATAATATGCAAGCTATAGCCAACTTTAATGTCAAACTATTACATTATAGTTACGTAGCTGAAAAGAGATTTACATCCAAGCTTAGCCTTCCTCTCGTGTTTTTGCTTTTGATCCAAAAGAAGGCAAAAAACAAAGTCTGAAGCGCTTCCAATTTTTGACCCCAAAATGTCAGTTAGATATCTCCTTGGATCAAACAGCGATTCTTCCAGCCTAAATGTGTAACCTTGTGTCCTACGTATAGCCCTGTTTATGAATAGATTTCCAGATAATGGTTTGTACTGGCCCTGAATATATTTGTATAATGTTATCATATCTCCTCTGAGGCGCCCTTTTTCTAAAATAAAGAGGTTTAAATTTTTTAACCTTTCTTCGTAACTAAAATGCTCCATTCCGTTTAACAATTTTGTAGCTCATCTCTGCACTTTTTCTAGTGTCATGATATCCTTCTTTAGAACAGGTGCCCAAAATTGCACAGCATATTCCATATGTGGTCTTACCAGTGATTTATAAAGAGGCAAAATTATATTTTCATCCCGAGAATTTATGCCCCTATTTATACATGACAAAACCTTACTGGCCTTAGCAACTGCAGATTGACATTGCATATTGCTGCCTAATTTGTTGTCTATAATAATTCCCAAATCCTTCTCATGTGTGGTTACACCCTAAATGGTAGGGAATTAGGGATAAGCTGTTTGTGCATTCTTTACCCAGAAGTACATAACTTTGCATTTCTCTACATTAAATCTATTCTGTTATTTTAGTGCCCAGTTCCCCCAATCTATCTAAATCCCCTCTGCAGCAAAGCAACATCCTTGTTTACTTCCCCTTTAAGATATGTTTCAGTACCTTTTTTTATTAGAAAAGAAATACTGCTTTCTAGATACCCGACATATATCCATTCTGAATCTGTACATATTGTTCAGAGCTTTCTAACCTTAACACACTGACTGCAGTTTTTAAACATCATTTAATTATGATAAAATCCCTCTAAGGAGCGATTCAGGAGTGTGAAGGTGGAACATTTGCATGCACATGGCCAGAATTTAAATATCAGCCGCTCGGGCTCAAGAAAGTGCTTAAAGTTTATCTAAAATGATCTCCCCGGAATCTTTTACCATTTGGTGGTGGATACTGCTGTAGTGTTTTACATATAAATTATGAATTATTATAGAGCAAACCGTGCTTAGTAGAGTTCTTTATTTATACATAAGGCTGTCAGCTGGTACTAAAATGAATCTGTTGATCTAGAGTATTTTAGTTAAATATACCAAATATCTCTGCCGTCTACTTCAAGTGAGTCTTTTTTTGTCTGTCTGCTTTGTTCATTATTAACCTTATACTACACAAAATAATCAGGTTGAAAGAGCAGGGTCAGGCATGTTTTTTAAAGGACAACTTTAGAGATGTTAAAAATGGAAAGCATCACAAATTATATCAGTACAGTACATGGTACTGCTCTTTACCCCAGATCCATATATAGCTCCAAAAGTATGCTCTTAATTCTCATAGACAACATTTTTATTGGAGGTCGAGTCGATTCATAGCATCCTGAGTGAACGTATCTCCAAGCGCAGTGGTTCCCATTTTAAACCTCAGGGATCAAGTTTGCTCTTTACCCCCTTTGCAATAGTCCAGGATTTAGGCATTTGTTGGCTGGGGACCATTACCTTAGAAGGCATTTGAAGACCCTGAGAACCTCTTTAACCTGACCCTAGCTACCTACTTCATGCAGTGTTGTAACAGCTTAACTCAAATATTGTTAAGCACAGAATGTTTTATTTTAACTCCTGGGTCATTATACTTAAAGATTTACTTTAAGTTTAGGCACAACCAATTATCTAATCTTAAATACAATTAAAGAAAAACTGTTATCTTTACATTTTACTATTGGTGAAATTAAAAGATGACAGGGGAGATTTATCAAGGGAAGAAAATGGTATATTATTGGGAAAAGCGCTAAATAGTAAGTAATCACTATAGAAACCAAATTATTGTTTATTTTTTTATTTTTTTAACACTTAGCACAGACAATAGCATGTTTTGCCTTGATAATTCACCTCCTACATACAGAGTTCAATTCTGAAATGGAAACACCTTAGGTTTGTCACCATTTCCCATCCAATAAGTACTCACATTAACCCTCTCTTAAAGGCATACGCAAGCATCATAACCACTTCAGCACACTGTAGTGTGTATGGTTCCAGGAATGCCCTGCCCTTCTACACTGCAAGTAGTTGAACAGTTCTAGAACTGAGTTATGGTGGGTATAGTTCTCCCCTTCACTACTCACAATGGAAAAGCAAAGGTTCCTAAGCAGTAGCTTTAATTAGCTCTCCTGTGCTTAGCTCTACAATGCAATGCTATCTCTTTGGCTGGGAGTGTCATCTAATCACTCTCGGCCAATGAGCTAACAAAATAGAAAGAATGTCCCTCCTAGCCTACAAAGTGGAAAGTATCAAAAAGTCTCAAGAAACAGGGGAAGGGGGCTAAGTTTATTATAAATAGTAACAGACTCTGAACAATATATTGTGACTATAACTTTGCTTTTATTAGAATCTAGTACAATACACACCCACAAACGAAAAAAAACCAAAAAACAATGGTCAGATATCTAAACTGGAGAGCGATAGCTTATGGGAACAGTAAATTAGCTACTGGGATACAATAAGATGTATACACATGGAGCCATTGTGATGCCAGCTAAGCTTACAACTTTGTAATCCTTCTACAAACACTTTGTAAAAACTGACAACTGGAAACAATTTAACTGTGTCAATGTAAAAATGTAAATACGTGTGGAAGGCCTCAATTCAAAACTGCAATAAATCACCCGAGGCTGCAGTTAAACTTCAGTCAGATGACAAATCAAACTGGTAAATACTATAAGGACAAACTTCTCATTATATGAACATAGCTCTGCCTCAATATTAAACTACCCCGGAGGCCTGCCTCAGTATACAGCCCCAAGCATGGACATTAGCGTTCAACAAGATATTAAAGTAAAACACCCTCCGCGAAGAATAAGAGATCTTATTCCCCCTCCCTTATTTCCTGCCCACAAAGAAAACAACAAAAGCAGTGTCCAAACTCTATCCTTTATAACCGATCTCCAACTAGCTCTCACAATTTAGAAAACTGCCTACGTGTCTCCATAACATTCAGTTAGTTCAGCACAATACATTATTGCGTCCTGGTTCAGAGGCTCTTACTATTTTTGTAATAGTAATAACAGCTCATTAAATGCACTGCCAGGCTTAGACAAGACTTCTTCTGACTCTCCATCATCCGTAGTGGAGGCAGAATGCAGGGTCCGGTGGAGCCCAGTTAAAAAGTCCATTTAAAAAAAAAAAAATGGTTTGAATACTTATGGGGTGCAAGGGAATTCCTGTCACCATAACCGTTAAAGAGCGCTGTTTGAATTTAGGGGTGGATGGTTAATGAAAGACTCCAAATTTATTCTTTAATTGCATTAACCTTTTAGCCATGGGGATACTATCACCATACAAAATCATCCTACCAATGACCTTAGTGCCAGGCAGAGTGTTTAAAGTACAGACTGGTCCAATCTTTGTAATTATGGTACCCTAGGTGAACTATAATATTACATTTGCTGCCCTGGCATCAAGGTATGATGAGCTTTAGGAGACATATAAATGTAGTATATAGTCTCAAAATAAATAAATACATTTATTAACTACAAGCTTAAAAAAAAAAAAACTAACAATCTCTAGAATAAAATAAGCAAACTCATATTTTAGTGCAGTTCCATATAACAAATGGAAAAAGTAAAAATAATAAATACCAAGGTCCGTGTGTTCACGGATCTCCCAAGCAAGGGTATCTTTTTGCTCCTTGTAGGGAGACATTTTACCCTGCCTCTATAAATAGGCAGGATAAAAAAGATGAAATGTTTGTATAAAGTTAACGCAGTAGATTTGTTAAAAATCTGTGAACAACAAATGACACCCCTTGACAAATTGAGAGCAGTCTCTCGAAATGTTAAGGCGCTTGATGATCACTGCTTTGCTCCACTTTATTTTTTTTGCTCTAAGTGGCAATATGGGCGAACAAAATACATGTTGATGTCTGAGTGGGTGTGAAGGGGGCAGCAGAATACATTGCTTTAACGTCTTCATCCTGATGTGTGTGATATTAGGATTGCTGTTTGTTGGCACCCACCCAAGTACACACTCTTGTTTTTAACAGACTTATAATGCGTATATTGCAAGATCTCCTTGTTGTGCATTATGGGTAAATTTCAGTGTGTTGCAACTGTGAGTGAAAAAAGCACAAATGGTAAGAATGAGCACATGATATCACTGTGGACTTTTATGTTAGTTTATTGATGGTACAATATATGCAACACACAAGAGACTTTCTTTAGTATCTAGTGGTATTCTTTAATTTAAAAATATAACATGATTGAATTTAATATTTAATGGAGAGTTACATGATTTACTGAGCATGGTAGCTTAAAGAAATACTATAGGGTCAGGAACACAAATGTATTACTGACCCTATAGTGCTAAAACCACCATTTTGTTGGCTTGCCCCCCTCCCCCCCTTTAAAAGTTAATACCAGCAGGGGTGTATTTAGCTCAAGGCAAACTAGGCATTTGCCTTGGGCGGCACTATTTATGGGGCAGCAAAGAATGCCACCCCCAAACGCCCTCTGAGGCGTCCCGTGTGATTCTCCAGTCATGGGTGGGGGGACAAGGGCTGGCCAGCTAATAGAGACCCCCTCTCCACCCCCTCTGGCGGGCAGCTTAACATCCCTTGTGCGCCGGTTACTGATGCCGTGGGAAACAGAATATGATGTCATATTCCGGCTCCCAGCATCAGTAGACAGACTGCGAGGGAGCAGTGCAGAGCAGAGAGATCACAGCTCTCTCGTCACCTCAGATGGGAAGCCGCCCGCCGCACTGACCCCAGGGGCGGATCTACGCCAGCTCTCCAGGTAGAGAGGCTGGGTGGGAAATTTTTGATTACATTATTAAGTTGTGTGTGTGTCTGTATGTCTGAGTGTCTGTTAGTGCATGTGCATGTCTGTTAATGCATGTGTGTTTGTGTGTCAAATCAGTGAGAGTCTCTGATTGTGTGACTATCAATGTGTCTGAAAATGAGTGTCAGTGTGCGTGTGTGTCTGTCAAGGAATGTGTGTGTCAGTGAATGTGTGTGTGTCAAATCAGTGAGTCTGTTTGTCATTGAGTATATGTGTGTGACTGTAAGTGTGTATCTGCCAATAAATGTGTGTCAAATCAGTGTGTCTGACTGTCAGTGACATCTGTGTGTATTTCATTGTGTATCTGCCAATGTGTGTCTGTCAGTGAATGTATGTGTCAAAGTGTGTGCTTAAAGGGACACTATAGGAGCCTAGACCACTTCAGCTCAGTGAAGTGGTCTGGGTGCAGTGTCCCAATCTCTTTAACCCTGCAAGTGTAATTATTGCAGTTTTTCAGAAACTGCAATAATTACCATGAGGGGTTAACTCCACCTCTAGTGACTGTCTACCAGACAGCCACCAGAGGGCCTTCAGGGTGGTTAGGCGACCAAAAGTCGCCTGACTGATGCTGGACGTCCTCACGCTGTGCATGAGGACATCAGGCATCTGCTAAATCGCCATAGGAAAGAATTGATACAATGCTTTCCTATGGGGAAGCCTAATGCAAGCGCAGAGGAGGAACTTAAACCAGTACTGAGGGACATTGGATTCAGGTAAGTGACCGAAGGGGTTTTAGCCTAGCCAATAAGCATCTCCTCATGGAGATACATGGAAGCAGTGCATCTCTAGGGGGAAAGTTCAGCATCTCCATGCAGGAAGCACCTCCAGTGGATGAGTGTTCCTATGCTGTAATCTAAACACAGTCTTTTCTCAGCGGCAAAAAGTCTGCAGGGATTAACTATACTAACTATCCTCACCAGAACAACTACATAGTTGTAGTTGTACTGGTGACTATAGTGTCCCATTAATCTATGCTTTTTCTTCAAGGAAAGATTTCATATTTATAGACACGGTTGAACAAGTTGATAGGGCAGCATGGCATACATGTAATAGATGGACTATGAATAAAACAGTCATAGCAAGCATGAAGGCCGTAGCATACACTGTAATAATATTTAGCCACATTTATTTTTATTTTGAGCATTTGTTTAAAAAAGCTTTCACTTTCAGTGTGTTGCGTGGTGAAATCCTGCCCCAAGTGAAATGATCATTACAACATTTTAGAGCGTTTTTTTGTAGCTGTAAAAATAGCTAAATCTGCTTTACTGTGAAAAATAAGCCCTTTATGTAAAACATCTCCATGATATTGGACAGCTGCCTGCGGATGCTGTCACTAAAGCAGAAAGCAGATCCAATCTGTTGTTCTGGTCAAAGAAGTGTTGACAGTCTTTGCTTGAATTCAAGATGATTGTGTGACAGTCGAGAAGTGTTAATCAATCGTTTATGATCTAGATGGTTCTATGGCCTTTTCTTCAACCATCATTTCCTTGGAGCTGCGATAAATCTGTTAAAAAGAGGAAAATGTATCATACAAAGGTGACTTCAATTGCATACAATATCAGTGGAATTGGTTGACTTACAATGGTTGGAGTTATAGAAACCAGTTTAAAGGGACACTATAGTCACCTGAACAACTTTAGCTTAATGAAGCAGTTTTGGTGTATAGAACATGCCCCTGCTGCCTCACTGCTCAATCCTCTGCCATTTAGGAGTAAAATCCCTTTGTTTATGAACCCTAGTCACACCTCCCTGCATGTGACTTGCACAGCCTTCCATAAACACTTCCTGTAAAGAGAGCCCTATTTAGGCTTTCTTTATTGCAAGTTCTGTTTAATTAAGATTTTCTTATCCCCTGCTATGTTAATAGCTTGCTAGACCCTGCAAGAGCCCCCTGTATGTGATTAAAGTTAAATTTAGAGATTGAGATACAATTATTTAAGGTAAATTACATCTGTTTGAAAGTGAAACCAGTTTTTTTTTTTTCATACGGGCTCTGTCAATCATAGCCAGGTGTGGCTAGGGCTGCAAAAACAGAAACAAAGTAATTTAACCCCTTAAGGATGGAGCCAAATGTACACATTGTGAACAAAACAAAATGTAAACAAAACCTGGCATTTGCGCTACATGTCTGTCCAACCGTAATACACCTCTTTCATAGTAAATGCACCCACCCTTATTATATATCATTTTATTCAGGGGAAACAGGGCTTTCATTTAATATTTAGCTATGAAACATAATTTAATATGAAAAAAATGGGAGAAAATAAGATTTTTTTAAAAGAAATTTTTAGTTCTACATGACATTTTAACGGTCAATGTCATAATACTGTTTGCTTTTACTGCAATAAAATACACATTTGTATTCAGCAAAGTCTCACGTGTAAAACAGTACCCCCTATGTACAGGTTTTAATTGCGTTTTGGGAAGTTACAGGGTCAAATATAGCACATTACATTTGAAATTGAAATTCGCCAGATTGGTTACGTTGCCATTGGGACTTTATAGTAGCCCAGGAAAGAAATTTACACCCATAATGGCATATCATTTGCAATAGTAGATAACCAAGGTATTGCAAATGGGGTATGTCCAGTCTTTTTTAGTAGCCATTTGGTCACAAACACTGGCCAAAGTTAGTATTTGTTTGTGTGTGAAAAATGCAAAAAACGCCAATTTTGGCCAGTGTTTGTGACTAAGTGGCTACTAAAAAAGACTGGACATACCCCGTTTGCAATACCTTGGGTTGTCTACTATTGCAAATGGTAACTCAACACTACATTTCCCATAATTCTCTTAAAGCCATAATGCTGGCAAGGCATTGGGGGAGATGTCCACAACAACTAGGGTGCCAAAGGTTCTCTCCTCCATGCATATATAAAATAAATTAGGTCCAGGCATTCTGGATTGCTGCAGAATGCAGGTTTATTGGAACAAAATGTGCAACATTTCGGCCTACAAAGAGCAACATTTCTCAAGTGTAGGCCAAAACATTGCACTTTTTGTTCCAATAAACCTTCCTTCCTGCAGCAATCCTGAGTGCCTGGACCTAATTTATTTTATCTACGAAACTGGGTTTTGCCAACCCTGATCCGGATAAACACCTGGATTCCTTAGTGTAAGTGCGGTATCCTCCGTTTGTGAATTACTCCTGCATATAGTCAGTTGGATGTTGCAGACTTTTACATTCAGTATCTCCTTCCTCATTCCTTCTAGTGCTAGCTGAATGTGTTGGTAGTTGCAATTATTGCAGCAATTTGACTTTGACCAAATTTTTTCATTTAATGTTGTCTCTATACTTTTCTGAATTTTTCACAGTATATAGATCACTGCCATGTATTCAAGATGGACAGAGGAAAATAATTCCTGGATATATAAATTTATATTTTTAGTATTAAGCATAATAAAAAGATATGACAAGTTGGTAGCTCACTGTATAAATCAAACAATATTGGCTATTGGTTAAATGTAATTTTTTTTTTTTTAATAAAACTGACTAAAATATTGCTTGGATAGATGAGGAGCATTAAAGTGAATTAATGTAATGCAATGGTGATAAGAGTTTAATATGTAGCACATGTGTCTGTGATTACACAAGAAAATGAAACACACTTTTAATTAAAGAATGCCATATATTTAAACCTTGATGACATTTATACTCCTTTCCCCATACATTAGAAAAGTCTAAAATTGGATATGATCTCATGTGAGAGTAATTGAGCTAGATGGGGCACACAAATGCTATTCCAGAGAATAACAGAGTGCTTTTATGTTTATTTAAAAGTAGTACTTGTGAATAGTGATGTACCGAACGGTTCGCCGGCGAACGGTTCCTGGCGAACATAGCATGTTCGCGTTCGCCACGGCGTGCGAACATATGCGCGGTTCGACCCGCCCCCTATTCGTCATCATTGAGTAAACTTTGACCCTGTACCTCACGGTCAGCAGACACATTCCAGCCAATTAGCAGCACAGCCTCCCTAGCAGACCCTCCCACCTACTGGACAGCATCCATTTTAGATTCATTCTCAAGCTGCATGCTTAGTAAGAGGAGGGAAAGTGTAGCTGCTGTTCATAAGATAGGGAAAAGCATAGCTAGGTTAGGGATAAGGGTATGCTTTTTTGGATTTTTTTTTTCTATCTAATGTAAATGCACTTAGTTGTCTGCCACTGCTGCCAGCTTCTGTGTCAGGCTCACAGTGCCCATTTCCCCAGTCAGTGCCACCAATTACATCTGGTGTCACAATAGCTTGGATTTAAAAACAAAAAACTTTTTCACTGTTATAGATTGAATAGCAGTCAGTTGTCTGCCACTGCTGCCAACTTCTGTGTCAGGCTCACAGTGCATACTGTGCCAATTTCCCCAGTCAGTGCCACCAATTACATCTGGTGTCACAATAGCTTGGATTTAAAAACAAAAAACTTTTTTCACTGTTATAGATTGAATAGCAGTCAGTTGTCTGCCACTGCTGCCAGCTTCTGTGTCAGGCTCACAGTGCATGCTGTGCCCATTTCCCCAGTCAGTGCCACCAATTACATCTGGTGTCACAATAGCTTGGATTTAAAAACAAAAAACTTTTTTTACTGTTATAGATTGAATGGCAGTCAGTGTCCTTAAAGCGGGTGTGTTACGCTAACAGTGGATACGCTGACAAGTGCCACTAATTAGATCTGGTGTCACAATAGCTTGGATTTAAAAACAAAAAACTTTTTTTACTGTTATAGATTGAATAGCAGTCAGTGTCCTTAAAGCGGGTGTGTTACGCTAACAGTGCATACGGTGACAAGTGCCACTAATTAGATCCTGTGTCACAATAGCTTGGATTTAAAAACAAAAAACTTTTTTCACTGTTATAGATTGAATAGCAGTCAGTGTCCTTAAAGCAGGTGTGTTACGCTAACAGTGGATACGCTGACATTTGCCACTAATTAGATCCTGTGTCACAATAGTTTGGATTTAAAAAAAAAATAATCTTTTTTCACTGTTATAGATTGAATAGCAGTCAGTGTCCTTAAAGCGGGTGTGTTACGCTAACAGTGGATACGCTGACCAGTGCCACTAATTAGATCTGGTGTCACAATAGCTTGGATTTAAAAAATAATAATCTTTTTTCACTGTTATAGATTGAATAGCAGTCAGTGTCCTTAAAGCAGGTGTGTTACGCTAACAGTGGATACGCTGACAAGTGCCACTAATTAGATCTGGTGTCACAATAGTTTGGATTTAAAAACAAAAAACTTTTTTTACTGTATTAGATTGAATAGCAGTCGGTATCCTTAAAGCGGGTGTGTTACGCTAACAGTGGATACGCTGACAAGTGCCACTAATTAGATCTGGTGTCACAATAGTTTGGATTTAAAAAACAAAAAACTTTTTTTCACTGTTATAGATTGAATAGCAGTCAGTGTCCTTAAAGCGGGTGTGTTACGCTAACAGTGGATACGCTGACAAGTGCCACTAATTAGATCCTGTGTCACAATAGTTTGGATTTAAAAAAAATAATAATCTTTTTCACTGTTATAGATTGAATAGCAGTCAGTGTCCTTAAAGCGGGTGTGTTACGCTAACAGTGGATACGCTGACCAGTGCCACTAATTAGATCTGGTGTCACAATAGCTTGGATTTAAAAAAAAATAATCTTTTTTCACTGGTATAGATTGAATAGCAGTCAGTGTCCTTAAAGCGGGTGTGTTACGCAAACAGTGGATACGCTGACCAGTGCCACCAATTAGATCTGGTGACACAAAGCTTGGATTTAAAAAAACAAAACACTTTTTTCACTGTTATAGATTGAATAGCAGTCAGTGTCCTTTAAAGCGGGTGTGTTACGCTAACAGTGGATACGCTGACCAGTGCCACTAATTAGATCTGGTGTCACAATGGTTTGGATTTAAAAAAAAAATAATCTTTTTTCACTGTTATAGATTGAATAGCAGTCAGTGTCCTTAAAGCGGGTGTGTTACGCTAACAGTGGATACGCTGACAAGTGCCACTAATTAGATCCTGTGTCACAATAGTTTGGATTTAAAAAAAATAGTAATCTTTTTTCACTGTTATAGATTGAATAGCAGTCAGTGTCCTTAAAGCCGGTGTGTTACGCTA